ATACAGAATTTTTAATGCCAGGTATTAACAAAGGTTTATGATTAATGTTTAATAACTTTAGTGCCTATCAGAGAAAGCTTTCCCTTTACACACACACTCATATACATCCATATTCCTGGACATTAGAGATAAGAAGGTAAGAGAGATAAGAGGTTACATTTAAATGTAAAGTAGAATGTTGAATTTCATTTTTTAAGATAAATTAAGTGAGATATTGCAATAAAGAACTTAAGTCTCTTTTACACTGTCCTGAACACTGGGGATATGGTACTGAATAAGATAATGTTCCTGGCATTCTGAAACTCACATTCTATTGGGAAAATAAGCCATTTATCTACCAATAATATACTGTACAACACAATTTTACTTGGTGATTAATGCTATGATAATAATAAGGGTTAAAGAGTGATGGGAAAGAGGAAGTAATTTTTTTTTTTTAATCCTCACCTGAGGGTAAGCGTTGTTGTTTTGTGTGTTTTTTTCATTGATTATAGAGAGGAAAAGTGGGGGGAGAGAGAGACATTGATCAGTTACCTCCTGTATGTGTCCCTACCTGGGATCGAACCTGCAACCTGGGTATGTGCTCTGACTGGGAATCAAACCCTAACCCTTCAGTGCATAGGACAGTGCTCTAACCATTGTGCAACATTGGCCAAGGCAAGAGGGAGTAATTTTTTTTTTCATCCTCACCTGAGGACATTTTTCTATTTGTTTTGTTCAGATAGAGTAGGAGGGAGAGAGAGAGAAACATTGACGTGAATGGGACACATTGAGTGGCTGCCTCCCACATGATCCAACTAGGGCCAGGGACAAACTGCAACCGAGGCATGTGCCCTTAGCGGGAACTGAACCCGTGTCTCTCTGGACTGCAGGCTGACACTCTAACTGCTGAGCCAAACCAGCCAGGGCTAGAGTGGGTAATTTACGTTTCTTTCCTTTTTTTTTTTTTTTTTTTTTTTTGATACGTGCCCTTAGTGGGGACCGAACCCGGGACTCTCTGGTCCGCAGGCCAGTGCTCAAACCACTGAGCCAAACTGGCCAGGGCATAGAGGGAGTAATTTAATGTGATCATCTGAGAAAGTGATTTTTGGATTTATGGTTAAGAGGTGAATCCCGCCCTGGCGGATTTTGTTCAGCGGTTAGAGCATCGGCCTGTGGACCAAAGAGTTGCGGGTTCGATCCCGGTCAGGGGCACGTACCTCGGTTGCAGTTCGTCCCGGCCCTGATCAAGTTGTGTGGGAGGCAACCAGTTGATGTGTCTCTCTCACATCGATGCCCCTTTCTCTCCCCACCTTCCTTTCTCTCCTTCCTTCCCTCTCTCTCCCCTCCACCTCTCTCTCTTCCTCCCTCCCACTCTAACTGATGATAAAAAGAAAAATATCCTCAGGTGAGGGTTAAAAAATAACAATAATAAAACGAAGTGAATCCTGTGATAATTTGGAGAACATTTCTGGCAGAGGGAAATAGGACTAACGAGTGCAAAGGCTTTTTTGAAGACCTTCAAGCAAAGTGTCTCTCGAGTATATTGATTGGGACATCCAGAGGCAGGCGACTGACGAGGTGGCAGGCCTCGATCATGTCATGGCCACCTAGACCCTGGTGAGAGGTGGCGTTTTACTCGGAATTAATGGGAAGCCGCTCAGAGGTTTTGAGAGGAGCGTGGATATCACTTGCTTTTCAAAAACTTGCTCTGGGGGCCAGGTAGAGTCCTTAGAGGGTCAAGAATAAAAGCAAGGGGTGTTAGGTAAGAGGCTACTTACTATAAGCATCCAAGCTGAGGTGGTGGCAGCTTAGTTAAGGAAAGTTATGGAAACAGCGAAAGGGTCAGGTTTATGATATATTAAAAGGGCCCTGGCTGGTTTTTCTCAGTGGTTAGAGTGTCAATCCTTGTACCAAAGGGTTCTGGGTTTGATTCCTGGTCAAGGGCATGTACCTGGGTTGTAGGTTCAGTACCCACCCGGTCAGGGTCGTGCAGGAGGCAACCAATCCATGTGTCTCTCTCTCACTCACTTCCTCCCTTCCACTCTATGTGAAAAGGAAAAGATTAAAAAAAGATATATTTAAAGTTATATTTTCAAGACTTGTTGATAGATTCAATTTAGATGTGAAGAAAAAAAAAAGGGTGACTCTTACAGCTCTAGCATAAGCAATTTGTGGTGCCATTATAATCATTTCATGCCATTAATTTGATGAGTTTTCATCAATCAGCAAGATCATGTTGCTTAAGAGTTTAATCATTTTGTAATGTTAATGTGGAGTATGTTCTATTTTAAAATCTCATCGGGAAGTCCATTGCAATTTCTTTTTTCCAGAGCATAATTAATTAAAGTCTGCCCTTTTTTCCAGGGATTTGTGATTGAGCTTCTTCTCACGTTGGAATCTGCGATTGATACATTGGCTGAAACCATGAAGCATTATGATCTTCTTTCTGCCCTTTCTCAGTAAGAATTTAAACCAGCAACCTGTAGATCTGTAGATAGAACTTCAAGAGCTACATATGTGTGTGTAACTAGGGCACTGTATTATTCTAATGCTGGTAGTGAGAATGATACTAAAGAATTTAAATGGATCGACCGTGGGAAATGAGCCTCAGACAGTGAGGACGTGGGGAAAGTCACAGAGCTAATGAATGGCAATGCTATTCCTCTGTTGTCCTGGTCCGACATGCGCTTCCCAGCCCATCGGGACTCCTGGAGCTGCCTCCCTCCCCTTTCTCCTTGCAAACCCAGAAGTAGCCTTGAAGTCCCATCTTAAATACCACCGCCTGGCTGAGCTTTCCTAACTCCCCAGGGAAGTGCTGATTATTCCAACCGTTGGGTTCTTAGTGTTTTCTTTATATTTCAGTAACAGCAATTCACAGGCTATGAATGCATCCATTTATATAGTATTCCCCTGGTAGATTTTATCAGCTCTTCCTCACATTTTTCATGCTGCTGGCACCTATAGAAAGTGTTTTGTAACTATTTTTCTGTCAGTGCTAATTGGACGTGAGGGAAGAGAAATCAAAAACTGATTTTTGAGTTGGTTCTTTTGGAAAGAGGGTGCATTGATAGACATGCACTGGGACCACCGGGGATAAGATAGATGAAGTCTGCTTTGGACATAATGTTTGCTGAATCCCAGAGTGGAGTTGTCCATGTTACTATAGCAGACTTTTTATGTCTGTCCTTACCCAAACTCACAGGAAACAGTTGGCCACAGTAGAAAAGATACTGTTGTACGTTTTGTTTTAATATGGAGGGAAGAACTTAAATTTGATTAAGCAAAGTCAGCTATACTAAAAATTATTTTCTCTGGTAACAGTTATCATTTTTCAGTGTTTTCAAGAGTAGCCCTGGCTGGTTTGGCTCAGCAGTTAGTGTGTGGGCCTGCAGTCCAGAGAGACTCGGGTTCGGTTCCCACTAAGGGCACGTACCTCGGTTGCAATTTGTCCTCAGCCCTGGTTGGGTCGTGCGGGAGGCAGCCATTCGATGTGTCCCTTTCACATCGATGGTTCTCTCTCTCTCTCTCTCTCTCTCTCTCTCTCTCTCCCACTTTATCTGAACAAAAAATGGAAAAATGTCCTCGGGTGAGGATTTAAAAAAAAAAAAAAAAAAAGAGTAAAATTAATGTAGCAAAAGAAATGACCGTGCATATGTTCATCTTTTCTTTTTTAAAGAACCTCATACCATGATCCTGTAATGGGAAACAAGTACGCAGCTAACAGGAAAAGCACTGGACAGCTCAATCTAAGCACAAGTCCCATCAACAGCAGCAGTTACTTGGGACATAACAGTAATGCAAGAAGTAACTCTTTGAGATTAAGTTTAATTGGTGACCGAAGAGGTGACCGGCGGCGGAGTAACACACTGGATATAATGGATGGACGGATAAACCACAGCAGTAGTTTAGCAAGGACTAGAAGCCTGTCCTCTCTGAGAGAGAGAGGGTTGTATGATGTGCAGTCCACTACTGAGCCCACCAACTTGATGGCCACCATTTTTTGGATAGCAGCATCTTTGCTAGAATCAGATTATGAATATGAATACCTCCTGGCTCTCAGGCTTCTCAACAAACTGCTTATTCATTTGCCTTTGGATAAATCGGAGAGTCGAGAGAAGATTGAAAGTGTACAAAGCAAACTGAAATGGAATAATTTTCCAGGCCTTCAACAGCTCTTCCTTAAGGGTTTTACCTCAGTTTCTACACAAGAAATGACCGTGCACCTCCTCAGTAAGCTCATCGCTGTCTCCAAACACTCCCTGGTGGATCCTTCCCAGCTGTCAGGTAACGTTACAGAATTGCTTCTACGCTTTGCTTTTTAATGTAGTGAAATGTAAACTATTCCTTGCTTGGAAGTCTACTAATTTTTGCTTTTCTACAGTTGACAGTTTTTTTAATATGTGCGATAGCTTAAATCCCTTGGTAAAAGCAGAAAAATATTTAAAAGATCAAGTTTCCCAAGATATAAAAAGAACTTTGAACCATTATAAAAAAATACCTTTCATTTTTTAAATGATGTGTGATAAACTTGGTTATTGGTTTTGTTTTCTTTTATAGGCTTTCCTCTTAACATCCTTTGCTTATTGCCTCACTTAATCCAGCATTTTGACAGCCCAACTCAGTTTTGCAAAGAAACAGCTAGCCGAATAGCAAAGGTAAGCAAATGTTACGCTGAAAGATAACACTCGAGGGAAATTTCTTCCAGAGTTTATCTTCAGGAGGGATCATTTTACTGTCACTTCCTTTGTGGATTTCACATCGAAATTTTTATTTTTTTATGCATATAAAGGAGTTATATAGTAATGATGTAAATTACAACTGCTCAAATGACAGTGAATAAAACTGTTAAGTTAGAGGAACACTCCTGAGTCCAAGTCTTTTTCTGCTCCATTTTCCTACTTTATCCTCTACCTTTCTGGCAGTTTCTAATTCATTCATTTCTTCACTAGCAAATATTTACTGAGCACTGGGTTAGGTGCTGGAAATACAGTGATAAAGTAGATGGAATACTTACCCTGTGGGCCTTAGAGGGAGGATGAAACCGAGGAAGTGGACGATCACCGCAGAGTCTGGTAAGCACGACGAGAGGGCAGGAGCACTCTAGGAGCACATAAAACACGATTTCCTCTAGGAAGTCATCTTAGCTGGCACTGAAGGCTGAATAGGAATGACCAAAGTAAGATCCCTGGTTGAGAAACAAAGAGCGGGGATGAGGGTGGAAGTTTTCTAAGTAGAAGAGATTGCATGTGCAAAGGCCCTGAGGAAGAAGAGGGCAGAATATATTTTGGGGTTCTGAAAGTTCTTTATGTTTGCCTGTTTAATACTGTCTTCTCTCTCTGTTTCCTTCATTTCTTTTCTTACTTGGTTCCTCCCCTCCCGTTGGACAGTTCTGAAATAGAAATGTAGCTATTTTTAAATAATTTGTTTACAGGTGTTACAGCTCTTAATCTTAATTCTATCTAAAATAATATGATTGACATTTTATATTTTTATTGCTTTCTTCCCTTAAGAACAAGAAAGAACTCTCAAATATCTTGCCTACTGCTTATAGTTAATTCATAATTATTATTGTTTTTTGGTGACATTCAGTCTTTATTGGAAATAAAGCTTTTCAGACCAAAAACAGTTACAAGGAGTTATATAAATTTACAAGTAACATGCATACAACAGGAAATTAGGTGAACTGGGTGTGGTGAGTGAGTAGCAGTATCAGTAAGGTAACTAACACTGGGAGAAAAATCAGAGAAGTTTGAATCAGAAGGGAACAAACAAATAAAATCTCTGGAATAACTTTTTATATAAGCAATTAAAATAAAACTGAGATTCAGTTAACAAGTAGCACAGCAGGAAATGGAAAGAGCAAGTGCACAGAAGGCCCAATAAAACACCTGCCTCTGCATGGCCCATGTGTCGACACTGTAAGTGCAGATTTATCTCTGGGTGCCAGTGGAGTGAGAAATACTACCAGCCCAACTAATCACATTAACAGTATCAAGAGGGAGGACCTTTTCATTATCTCCTCCAAAAATGATATTAATAAATGACAAGAAAAATATTTAATATAATAATACTGTTGCCATTTATTTCTGTTGAGTCTATTTTTAATTAAATTTCTGAATAAATTAGATAAGGAGAGATCCTTAATATAATTCTTTGAAAAGCATGTATTTAAACAGAAGAGCCATTATTATAATAGTTCATGGAAACATATCTGTTTTGAAAATGATTATTTGCCTTAAAACACCAACAAAACGTATTTGCATTAATGAGGTCTAAAAGTAATATGAAATAAATAATTTATTAAAATAAATTTTTAAAATATTCTAATGACACATTAGAAAAATATAAGTAGGTTTTTTGTTTTTTTTTCCTTCTTCATGAAGGGTAAGAAAGAAAATATTGGGGGTGGGGTAGTATATTGGCTTACTTTGGGATTTCAAGAAAAGAAAAAGCATCAATTCCCTAATAAAGGAAGTAGAAGCATTGAAGAGTCTCAGCTGAAATGTGTTGTGTCAACTCCCCACTGGAGCCTGGCCTGGCCAGGAGGGTGTGGAGGCCCCTTGTGAGAAGCCTCTTCTGTCACCATTTGAGGCAGAGGACAGGAAAGTCCAAATACTTTTTTTTTTTTAAGAAATAAAATGTATGGCTTTTCATGAGTCATAAATTGTTTTAAAGTCTGTTTTCTTCCTGTTGAGAAGCACACCAAGGGTCCATCTGTATGCTTTCAGCAACCTGCAGGATGGGAATGAAATTGATTTCTTAATCATTCAGTCACTTAAACTGTTGAGAGTATTTTTCTGCCATTATGTGCTTCCTCGTTATGCAAATATCTCTGGGTCTACTGTTTGTGCCCTTGGAGAACATAGAGTTTCAAAATGAGGCAGCACTTAGGACAAATAACTGTTCATTAAGGCAGAAATAGTATGCTAAAAACATTTGTTATAAGACCCTTTTTGGATCAGATTTTAACCTGGTAATTTAAAAATTCCAAAGTAAATCTAAGGCTGATTATAAAATTGCACAGCATACATTCCAAAGATCTGTTTTCCTTTTTAAAAATAGGTTTTTATTCATTGGGAAAATTATTTTTTAAGCACATAAGAATTCTGTAGGAATGTCTTATTCTCCAGGAAAGATTCTTTAAACTAGAAAATGTTTTCCTGAAGAATAATCAATTGTAATTTTTTAAAATAGTATGATAAATTATTATTTTTTGAAATACAAAGAAATGTCATCCAAATTTTCCTTTTTTATTCCTGGTGCTTGTTCTATGGGTAAAAGGTTAATGCATGAACGCAGCTGCTTCTAATGATTTTATAAAATAGCTTCTCAGGTACTGTGTTAGTCTCCGCATGGTCTTGCATACTTCACATCTCGGGCTTATCTAGTGATAATGTCCACATGATGAGTCAAAATAAAAGAGTCATCTGAAAGTTGAAATTACAGTGTATATAGTTTAAAAGGTAACTCTCTTTACTCAATGCTCGAGGCAAATACATACAAAACATCAGTAAGATGGAAGAATAAGTGAGGGAAAAGGAAAACTAAATTTCATTGAGGCTGGCCTTTTTACCTAGATAGAGACATGTGAGTAGTGTGGCCCTTGTCCAGTTCTGAGTTGTTCGGTTGTCCCTGGGGGAGGATAAAGGAGCATCCTTTGGGCCCTATAACTTAGGGCACAAACAGACCAAGCAGGTGCATTTGGTCAGTAAGGGGCCCAAACATTTAGTTTCGCAGTGCTGTGTTAAGCAAACTCCAGGAAGTCAATATACTTTGAAGTGGCCTGTAAATGATTGGCCAAGGACCTTAAGAGCTTCAGGTGATTTCCTGAAGAGCAATATGAGGTCCACCCTGGAGAATCCTTGGAATATATCACGCTTCACGCACATTGAAGCATTTTTACAATTTACCTCTCTACTGGGACCTCAGACAGCTTGAGACTGAAACGTTTCTTTGGCCCTACAACTCTGAACCTCCCAGAGAATTCCTCATCTGAGCCTGTGTATAGATTTTACAAAACAAAACTCTTTTTACAGAACAGCTACAAAATGATATATAGGATTTACAAAACCATGTATGGATTTTTACCAAAGGCAGTTTTACAGAGAGCACTGGACTGAAAAAGAGCCATACTGTTTAACACTCACGGAAGTATTTGACATTAATCATCTTTCCATATTATCAGTTGCTACCTTCTGTAATGTCTTATCCTTTTTTCTCTTCTGTTTATCTTTTTAACTGTACTGAAATAATCATTTTAATTATTTTATTAAATATGTTTAGTATCAAGTTTAAACTTGATCTTTATTTTTGGTGAATGCAAGTATTTAATTTTTTTAGGTTTGTGCAGAAGAAAAATGCCCAACACTTGTCAATCTGGCGCACATGATGTGCTTGTACAGCACACATACATACTCCAGAGACTGCTCTAACTGGATCAACGTCGTGTGTAGATACCTGCATGACTCTTTCTCAGATACCACATTTAATCTTGTGACTTATCTTGCTGAGGTAAATTTACAAAGGGGTGGGGGAGGGTGGATTTTTAACTGCTCTGTGGCAAAACTTTGAAGTAGGTTTATTTCTAAAAGCAACACTGATACTAATCTTTAAATTACATCTCTCTTTTTAAAAAATGTATGTTTATTATTGAAAGTATTAGAGATGTCACCCCCTTTTTCCCCTATTGACCTCCTCCACCTGCTCCTGCCCCCCATGCCTTCATGTTTTTAAAAATATAAATCATTCCTTTCAAGTATAAAGGAAGTTTTCATAAAGTGTTTCTTTTTCATTTTCAGTATTTATTTCTTTATTCACTATCCTTAAATGGTATAAACTCAAAATAATGTAAACCTCAACTTTATTTAAAATGGAAAATGGGTTTTTAGAGATCTTGATCCTAGAGAATGGTTATGATATTTATTTCTATAAAATTGTTTCTCGACTGTGATATCCCTAATAGAATGTGTAAAGGCATTTCTACCAGGGAATTTTTTATTTTGATGATACATTTGCTTCCCAATCTAAAATATTTTGATGGCCATAAAGAGAATAATTAAAAAATAAAAACTAGCTCTAGAACAGCATAAAATGTTAATATTTATCTGTTGAGAAAGTAATTTTATGCCTAGTGAATTACTAAGTAGGTAGCCACAAAGAGAACCTCAAAAGGAAGAAATTCCTAGTCACTAAAAATGTTTGTCAGCTTATAATAAACTAATACCTTTCTTTTAAAAAAGTTGACCTCTAGAAATTAAACCTAAAACAATGTGTAAACTTAAGACATTATTCATGATGCAATAAACATTGTAAATGCTGCTCATAACAATGCATCAGTGATGTTGACTATCATAAAATGCTTCAGTACTGGTGTGAATTTTCAAAGTGCTGATCTTGATAGGTTTGTTCCCACATCAGCTTCATATTTAAGACAGTGTGAGCTACCTGCCTGGCAGCTTCCTAACCTGAGTGAATGCAAGTCTCTCAGTTTATCTTATCCTACCCCTTGAGGACAAGAGCCAGCACAAACTAGTCCTAACCTCCTTAATCGGCTTTGAATTTAAGTGCCTTAGACCACCTTCACTTTGTACCACCGTAAAGCTCACCACTGCAATAGCTCCAGTCCTCCCTGAAGCTCCGGTCTTGGTCTTGGTCTTGGGATCGAAGGTCTGGACCTGGCACAATCAGCCTCTTTGTGTACCTCATGGGCAACATTTGTCCACTCTGTAGAGAGAATGCTTTGCCACAAATGTTGCTCTTACTAGTGTAAATTATCCTTGCTCTGCATTATTATAATTATCAAAGTATTACTAGAAACAAACAGTACTAAAGCTAGTTACATGCATTTAAAACTTACATTTAATTGTCCTACCAACAATAGGAGGTAGTAGGAGGTAGGTAGTATTGCTGTTTTATTTTATTTATTTGTTTATTTATTTGTTTGTTTATTTATTTATTTATTTATTTATTTATTTATTTTTTAATCCTCACCTGAGGATATTTTTCCATTTTTTGTACAGATAGAGTGGGAGGGAGAGAGAGGAAGGGAGAGAGAGAGAGAAACATTGACGTGAAGGGACACATCGAGTGGCTGCCACCCACACGACCAACCAGGGCCGGGGACAAACTGCAACCGAAGTACGTGCCCTTAGCGGGAACCGAACCCGGGTCTCTCCGGACCGTAGG